GAGCAAGACTTAGTCTCAAAAAACAAAAAGACTGGTGCTCAGCGCTGGTAGCTCAGCAGCTAGGGCACCAGCCACATACATTGGAGCTGGTAGGTTCGAACCCGGCCCACGCCTGCCAAACAACAATGACAACTACAACCAAAAAATAGCCAGGCATTGTGGTGGGTGCCTGTAGTCCCAGCTACAAAGGAGGCTAAGGTAAGAGAATCACTTAAGCCCAAAGAGTTTGAGGTCGCTGTGAGCTGTGATGCCACAACACTCTCCTGAGGGCGACACAGTGAGACTGTCTCAAAAAAAATACACAGTGTGACCTTGAAATAAATAAATAAATAAAACCAAGCTAGGCAAGGTGGTACACACCTGTAGTCCCAGACAGTTGGGAGGTTGAGGCATGAGGATGGCATGAGGTTAGGAGTTCAAGGCAGGCTACAGTGAGCTATAATGGAGCCTGTGAATAGCCACTGGCCTCTTGAAAAAAGAAAAAAACAACAATAATAAAATAGTCTGTATGACCCTGGACAGGTTACTTAATTTTTCTGTGGTTTAGATTTCTCATCTGAAAAAATCCAAAATAACAATAGTACCCACCTCACAGAAGATTGAGTGGGTTGACCTACATACCTGACTATTTTTGCTCATTGAGCAAATGTTCATTGAGCTGGGGTTTAGGGAGTGTGGAGGAAAAGGGGGACGAATACTTTTTCATAGCACATGTCAGGCAGTCGGGATACATTGGTGAGCTAAGACAGACTCAGTCTCTCCCCTCATGGAGTTTGTGCTCTAGTGATGGCAAGACAGAAAGATTCATCCCAGAATTTTTTTGTTTTGTTTTTGGGAGAGACAGAGTCTCACTCCATCGCCCTTGGTAGAGTGCTGTGGCGTCACACAGCTCACAGCAACCTCCAACTCCTGGGCTTAACTGATTCTCTTGCCTCAGCCTCCTGAGTAGCTGGGACTACAGGCGCCCGCCACAATGCCCGGCTATTTTTTTGTTGCAGTTTGGCCAGGGCCGGGTTTGAACCCGCCACCCTCGGTATATGGGCCGGCACCCTACCCACTAAGCCACAGGTGCTGCCCAATCCCAAAATTATTTAAATCAGGAGTCAGCAAACTACAGCCCACAACTTATTTTGGTATAGCTTAAGAGCTAATAATGATTTTTATATATATTTTTAACAGTTGGGAGAAAAATCAAAAGAAGAGGACTATTTTGTAAGGCGTAAGAATTATATATATCCATATAATAATCCAAATTTCAGTATCCATAAGTAAGTTTTTGTTGAACACAGCTCTGGCTCATTCATTTTCATATTGTCTCTGGCTATTTTTGCACTACAGCAGAGAGTTGAGTAGTTGTGACCGTTTTTTGTACTTTTTGCCCACAGAGCTTGAAATATTTACTATTTGGACCTTTACAGAAAGTTTCCAAACTCCTGATTCAAATCAATGTCAACACATAATTTAGAAAGGAGAGGTAGATGGTGTCAAGAGGAAGAATAATTGGGACAACCAACCCTGCCAGACAGGTCAGGGAAAGCTTCCTGGACAAAGTGATGCTTGAGCCACTCTCTGGAATGACAAGAGTTCCCCAGGCAAAGAGTGAGGACCATGCTCCATGCAGGGAGATCTTCTCAGTGAAAAGGATCCTGGAGGCAAATGGTCCCAGGGAAAGGGAACACCCATGCATGTGCAAAGACCTCAAGGTGTTGGGCAGCCCAGCAATGAAATGTGATGCTGGGTATTATTACTGATGTTATTTCAATTGTGCTATTACTTAAATATTACTCATTATTAATTCCCAAAGATTTGTGATTCTAAGCAGGTGCATCCCTCTCTCCGTGAGCAAGCACCTTGGTTTCTTTTTATTTATTTATTTATTTAGAGACAGGATCTCACTGTTACCAAGACTAGAGTACAGTGGCATGATCATAGCTCATGATGGCTCACTGCAACACGGAACTCTTGGGCTCAGGTAATCCTCTTGGCTCAGACTCAGGCTCCTGAGTAGCTATGATGACAGGCACATGCCATCATGCCAGGGTAATTGTTCTTTTATAGGGATAGGGTTTGACACATTGCCCAGGCTAGTCTGAAACTCCTGGCCTCAAGTCATACTCCTGCCTTGGCCTCCTAAAGTGCTAGGATTATAGGTGTGAACCACTGCACTCAACCCCCAGTTTCTTTTTTTTTTGAGACAGAGCCTCAAGCTATCCCCCTGGGTAGAGTGCTGTGGCATCATAGTTCACAGCAACCTCCAACTCCTGGGCTCAAGCGAGTCTCCTGCCTCAGCCTCCCAAGTAGCTGGGACCACAGGCACTCGTCACAACACCCAGCTATTTTTTGGTTGCAGCCGTCATTGTTGTTTGGTGGGCCCAGGCTGGATTCGAACCTGCCACCTTAGGTGTATGTGGCTGGCGCCTTAGTCACTTGAGCCACAGGTGCCAAACCTCTTTTTTTCTTTTTTGAGACAGAGGCTCAAGTTGTCACCCTGGGTAGAGTGCTGTGACATCACAGCTCACAGCAACCTCCAACTCCTGGGCTCAAGCAAGTCTCCTGCCTCAGCTTCCCAAGTAGCTGGGACCACAGGTGCCTGCCACAGCACCTGGCTACTTTTTTGGGTTGCAGCCATCATTGTTGTTTGGCAGGCCTAGGCTGGATTCGAACCTGCCACCTTAGGTGTATGTGGCTGGCACCTTAGCCACTTGAGCCACAGGCACCGAGCCAACCTTTATCTGTATCTTTATCTGTAGGATGACACCCCTTCTGACTCAGAGTCCATAGTCCCCCACTCCTCATTGACAATGGTCATCAGACCTAGCAAAACCTAGCCTGGTGACCAGGATGTGAGCTGAGCCTCACATTTAGGGAACAGATTCATAGGGGAGCCCTGGGAAAGGCTGAGGGACCCTGACTCTGGGCACAGCAGCTATAGTGACCATGCCTCCAGCCCAGAGGGAGCCTCACCCTAGAAAGGCACCCAGAGTTCAGAGTCGGGGTGGATGGTGAGGGGTGTTCCCAGAGCTCTATCAAATTCATCTGATGAGGTAGAGGTCAAGAGGTAGAGGGAAACCTTTGATGTTTTTTCAGCAAGGGGAAGAAGCTTTCAGGGTATGAGTCCCTGGGTCCTGCCAGACAACTCAGGAATGGGGAGGGAGGTGGCTGTATCTAACCTGTTATGAAGGAACTGCCATTCTCAGGGCTGGGCCAGGTGAGATAAACAGTGCCAACATGGTACAAGCATGACCATACAGGACAGGAAATTGATTGCCTAATCACATTTACAAAGGTTTACTCCTATGTATTGTGTAAGAGATTGAAAGTTTTAGCTCTTATGGTGTAGTCTGTAATCTGTAGATCGGGAGAGGTCAAGGTCCAACCTTCTTTATTCTTTTATGTGGATGTCTACTTGTTCCAGCAGTTTTGCTAAAAAGACTCTGTACATTGAATGGTCTCAGCATACTTGTGGAAAGTCAACTGACCATAAACTTAAGGGGTCAGTCTTGGTTCTAGGCCACTGACCTATATGTCTAGCCTTATTCCAGTAGCACACTTTTTCTTTCTTTCTCTTTTTTTTTTTTTGAGACAGACTCTGTTGCCCTTGGTAGAGTGCCATGGCATCACAGCTCACAGCAACCTCAAACTCTTGGGCTTAAATGATTCTCTTGCCTCAGCCACCCAAATAGCTGGGACTACAGGCGTCCACCACAACGTCCAGCTATTTTTTGTTGCAGTTGTCATTGTTTAGCTGGCCCAGGCTGGGTTTGAACCCACCAGCCTGGGTGTATATGGCCAGCACCATAACCACTGTACTACAGACGCCAAGCCTCTTTCTTTTTTTTTTTAACAGAGTCTTGGTCTGTCACCCAGGCTGGAGTGCAGCGGTGTCATCATAGCTCACTGGAGTCTCAGACACCTGGGCTCAAGTGATGCTCTGGCCTCTGGCTCCTGGGCAGCTTGAACTACAGGTGCCATGGGCCAGGCTAATTATTATTATTATTATTTTTATTGAGACAGAATCTCACTTTGTCACTCTAGGTAGAGTGCGGTGGCGTCATAGTTCATATTAACCTCAAACTCACCACAATGCCAGGCCTTTTGTTTGTTTGTTTTTGTTTAGCAGGCCCAGCTGGGTTGGAGCCTGCCAGCCACATTGAACTAGGGGCGCCTAGCCCAGGCTAATTTTTTTTTTTCTTTTTCTTTTTGTAGGGTCGGAGAGTCTATGTTGCCCAAGCTGGTGTTTAACTCCTGGTCTCAAGCAATCTTTCCACTTTGATCTCCCAAAGGGCTGGGATTACAAGCCTGAGACACTCCACTGACCACACATGTCTTGATTATTGAAACTTTGTAGTAATTTAATAAAATTTAAATGACTCACATCAAGGGCTGTTCTGGTAGGGGAGAAGCTTGAGAAGCGCCTATAGTTCTGAGCGTCACACGTGGAAGCGGGGGTGTCCTCTCACGTGTTTTCAGGGCCTGAAGGGTCTGCCTGGGCCCTCGCAGGTGCAGCCCCCAAAGCTCTAAGCTTACACTGGAAGGACCCTTAGACAGCGAGAGCCCACAGCGTAGGGATCCTCACCCACCTTGTTTCTGCGGAAAGGTAGCGTCTTTCACCACACTTTCTTCCTCCTGTGCCGGGTCAAGCCCCCAGGCCACACCCCCTTCCCCTAACTGTCCCTAACACCAGCTTCCCACACCCCACATCCGAGTTGGGAGGTGGGTCCCCGCCCCTGCCGGGCAGCAGGTCCCGCCCAGTCCCCGCCCACCCTCCCCCGGACTGGTTGTCCCGGCGGTCCCCGCTGCCGGCAGGGCGGGTCTCCTGACGCCCCACTGGGAGGGAGTGGAGCGGCCTCTCCGCCCGGCACAGCGGGCTTTCCAGGCCCCCGCTTTCCTCCAAGGTGTCCCTCCCGCCTGAGTTCCCGCTGGCGCAGTAGCAGACCCCCTGGGCCTCGGGGTCCCTTCTCGCCCGTGGCGGGCTCAGTGGGGGGTAAGGATCTGGGAAAGTCTTCCTGACCCAGCCCTGGGTTGCCCCAGCCCCCAGGCTGGCTTTCAGAACCTGGGGTGACAGAGCTCTGAGAGGGGCTCTCCAGAGGGGCTCCTTGCCCTCTAAAGCCTGGGGGTAGGGGGTCAGGCACTGTCTGGGCGTCCCAGAAGCCCCACCCAGAGGAGATGGGTCCTTGGAAGGGTGGGAAGCCAGCGGGGAGGGGGCCTGGGTGAGAGGAGGTCCTGAGGTCCCTGTTGCTGCTGAGGTCCCCCCTCTTCCAGGCTGTGGTCTGCTGAGAACGTGAGGGAGGCACTTCTCCCCTCTTGACCCTGCCCTGGCCAAGCACAGGGGTTTGAGGGATTTAGGGCCCCAACCTCAGGCTGGCTGCTCTCTTGCTCTTCTGCGCCTGCTTCATGCCATGCACTCCAGGCTGGGGCGCCTCCTTGATATGCGATCTGGGGAGGGAGGGGTCCCCAAGGCCTGCTTGGGGCTGCCCATCTGTACACAGCTTCCAGGGCTGGTGGTTGGTTCCGATCGTCAGCTTGGGCCTCTCCTACCATGGCAGAAGACCAGGGAAGGAGAGGAGGCCACCCCTCCACTCTGGACTTCAGCTGCCTATCCCCAAACTCCCACATGAGAGCATGGGTTCACTCCTGTGACCATGCCTGCAAGTTTCAAGGGCCTATCAAGCCCGGGTTTATCAGACCGGGCTCTCTGAAAACAGACTGGGGGTGGTGTGAGGTGGGAGAAGGACCAGAACCATCAGCCTTACTCACGAACCCAGCTTCGTGCCTCCTGGCCATGATGTTGGTCTTGCCAGGCCTGGGGGTCTCTGAGACCTGAGATGGCAGCTCCATGGCCTAGCCTCACCCCTAGTTCCAGGAAGTAAGAGCAAAATGTCTTTCTTTCTTTTCTTTCTTCTTCTTCTTCTTCTTTTTTTTTTTTTTTTGGTAGAGACAGAGTCTCACTTTATTGCCCTTGGTAGAGTGCTGTGGCGTCACACAGCTCACAGCAACCTCCAACTCCTGAGCTTAGGCGACTCTCTTGACTCAGCCTCCCGAGTAGCTGGGACTACAGGCGCCAGCCACAATGCCCGGCTATTTTTTCATTGCAGTTTGGCTGGGGGCCGTGTTTGAACCTGCCACCCTCGGTATATGGGGCCGGCGCCCTACCCACTGAGCCACAGGCACCGCCCCAAAGTGTCTTTCTTGTTCCTATCTTCTTCCTTGGTCCCCACTCATACCAGGCAGCGACTCATGGTTCCCAGTGCAAAGAAAAGACCACTTCCCCACTGGGACAGAGGTGAAGCCAGAGCCCTAGCTCCATCTCCATCTCTTCTCTGCCCTGCTGAGTCTTCTGGAATGGGCCCACCCACCAGGAAGCCAGATCGCTGTTGCTCTTGGGCTTACCTGCCCCCTGAGGAACACAGGTGAGTCCCACTAAACCTCTCTGTGCTTGGCCAGAAGCTAGATGAGGGTGCGTAGAAGAGGGTGAGAGGGGTGTGGGTGACGGGAAATAAGAGAATGTCCACTTCAGTGTGATGTGGAGCACCATTAAGGAGGGAAAACAGGAAGCGGGGTCTAGCACAGCCTGGGGTGGGGATGAGGGCAGCTTCCTAGGGATACTGCAAAGGCTGGATCTTGAAAGATCAGCTGGCTCGGCACCTATAGCTCAACCGGCTAAGGCGCCAGCCACGTACACCTAAGGTGGCGGGTTCGAATCCCCAGCCTGGACCCGCCAAACAACAAAAAAATAGCCAGGTATTGTGGTTGGCTCCTGTAGTCCCAGCTACTTGAGAGGCTGAGGCAAGAGAATCACTTAGGCCCAAGAGTGAGGTTGCTGTGAGCTGTGACACCACGCTACTCTACCAAGGGCGACATAGTGAGACTCTGTCTCAAAAAAAAAAAAAAGAAAGAGGAAAACCAGGTGATTATCTCAAAGCTGTGGGCAAAGTAACTGATAAAATTTCTAAAAATCTTTCAGCAAAATAGG